ACTCCGCCCACCTACGGAGGAAGTTTTGTCGCGGCCCTCGGCCACCAGCGAAACCCACCGAGATATTGATGACTTCTTTCTTTGTGGAAAAGAGCCTCCGCGCTGCAAACCCACCCTCTAGCCTAGTGCCACCCTCTTCGTACGTCTCTCCACTCGCTCTATCTCTCTCCCTCTCGGTCTCTCGCTATCCTTTCTTCCCTTACCGTCTCTCTGACTTCTCTGCTGTACGTGGAAATAGGCACGCGTTACCAGCCCACGTGGTCTTCCCTTTAACAGGGGGGTAGTAGGTGGTAGAGACATCGATAACGATTGTCCTAGGAAAAGAATGGGCCAGCAGTGGGACATTGTTATCGCACGGCCTACGAGAGGGTTGGTACGCTTTAAAGACTAGGGACATTTCAAGTTTTGTTTTTCTTTTTCACTAGGCCGTTTGCAAAGTGCGTGCGAGCAGCGTCGAGCGGGGGTTGGTCGAACAACGGCATCATAAGTCGGGAGTGGTTTGGGAGGTTTCGAGGGTGGCAAGGGTCCCTGGAGGCGGCAGGCTAAATATATCCAACCCCCAAGTCCCCCTGACAACCCCCGAGGGAGAATGTCAAGACAACATGGCCGACGCCCGTCATCCTACTACCAACCCTACGTGTACACTAGCCGTGTTCGACCACCAGCTCACCTACGTTTCCAAGAACGTTCAAAGACTACACGGCCCTTCCCACCAGAGGCATGTCTAAATACTGCGCCCTCTATATCCGCTCCAAGCTCCTCTGCCGGTATTGCTAGTGGTAGTAGAGGTAACGGTAGTGGTAATACTAGACACTGATACTACCTCGGCTACCCTTGGCCGCCTTCCTTATTCCTTTCTTCGTTGACTCGGGTGCTTTCATCCCTTAAATGTCAGCCATACGACCAATCAGACACCAGACAAGATCCCCATTGACCGTTCGCCGTATACGATACAGTACCAAGTAGGACGAACCATAAAATTATCGTTAAGATATACCAAACCCAAATCACACTAAGGGATGAAAGTTAAGAGTCGACGAGGGGAGAGAGAGAGAGAGAGAGAAAAAAAGGAAAGATAAAGAAATAGATTAAAGTCTCGATGTCTATGGCGTTCGGAAATGTCGAGTCTTCTCTGAAGTCGTTCTCCGACCAGTCGAAATTAGCCACCCTTAGGATTACACTGAATTAACAAATTGAAAAAAGTCTTCTCCCCCGAAGTTGGTCTTAAAGGAGGCCAATCCTTGCCCGAGCGAAGGCAGACTTAACCTTAAAGCTAAAGCGCGATCTCGCAAGGTCGGACCAACAAATTCATGCAAATGTCACTGGCACGGGAGAGCAAGCTCAGCGCCTCCACCAATATCGTCCTACCGAAATCAGCAGCATCCTCAACACACGTGAACTTCCTCTTCCGTCCTTACTACTGATAACATGACGTAACTATGGCACGCTGTGACGTAGCTGCTAAGACTCGTTAAGCTGGCAGGACTCTGTTTCAGCACCCTTATTGCAGCAACCTCTTCGCAACTCGCCACAGGCTAAGCCCATCTCGAGAGGATACTCGCAGGGACGATTTTGGGGTAGCTTCGTGAAAACGAAGCTTTCCGACGGAATCGAAGCGCCGTGTTCGATACGTGCTGGGATTTTGAGAAGTAAAAAAAAGAAGCCAGTACAAAGCAATTTGCGGTGAATATTCAAAGTTTCGTAGCGGGGTTGGGAGAGGAGGGTAGATATAAGTCTTGGGTAAGTATCGCGCATTTGAGCATTCGCCTTTAACTTCGATCACCTTCGAATTTTCCATGTCTGAATTTAGCTGACCTTGTGGCACTGGGTCTACGCTGGTTTCTCGCAGAAGGTTACTGGTGGTAGGTATAGAGGGTGGTGGAATGGGATTCCGAAGGCCGAGGATGAGGTAAAGCTCGTTGGAGGGTTGTGCTCTCGTGCCGAGGGGTGTGATTGGTGAAGCTAGTAGTATCGATTATACCACTGCGCGATCTTATGCACACCCTCGAGCTTCCCGGCCTCATCCCCTTCGGGATAGCCTATACCACGCCGCGCCGGTGTTTGTGACTCGAAACTTTAGGGGTTGAACTTGTGCCGAGGCATCGGGAGGTTGGTCGGTATAGGGACTCTGCGACTCGTGATAGTGAAAGGGGGCGAGTGGCCATAAACTCGGATATCGTTTGCGTTTTCTATTTAGCCACTTCACTTTTGTCTACCATAGTGCTTTATTTATCGTCGTGGACCCGAAACGAAAGTAACAACCACCTCGCGGTAAGGATTCGTGTCGATCGTCAGGTACCTGGGTCTGTCCATTGCTACCCCTGGATTTGTCTTGAAAATTCTCGACGGACGTAAAAAAAAAAAGATAAAAAAAAAAAAAGAGAAACGTCCGTCTTAATTTCCCTAATGGCGAAAACATTGTACTCGAAGGTTTAGGTCCGTGAATAGAAAATGTTTCATTGTTAAATAAAACAGTATTCTCGCGGATACCGTGGATATAGAGAAGAGTCCCTCCCCCCTCCCACCCTCGCGCCCTACCTGCCGCGTCCCTACCGTGTATAAGGGTGTCTATCGGGAACGCCGTTTCCCGTACATTTATTGCTTGCGCCACCCTCCGCGCTACTCCGGGTTACGACGTTATATTTGATATTGGATAGACTCCGTATACGTATCATTGGCGTCGTAAAACCTGCCGTAAATAATATTAAATAAATGTAATACGCGAGGCAAAATGCCGTTTAGCCGATAGACGCTTTTATATTGGAGACTTCGGTACGACGTCGCGCGGATCATCCCTTTTCCTTAGCTAACATCGAAAAACCAATTCACATTTTTTTTTTTTTTTCATCCCTTTCCGACGAAATTTCGTTCTTCAAGTATTTACCGAAAACCGCTACTCCCGCCACCCGTTTCTCAATTCCTTTCACCTTTCTCCCAGTGCGACAAGAGTCCACGAGGCTCGCCGAGGTAAGACGGACGTATTTACAGCTGCCGTAAAACTGGCCGGTTAATTGAATGTTGGATCGTGTAGCTCGTGAAAAGGATGCGCGACAGACGGCACGAAGGGAGCAAGAGCGAGAGAGAAGGCAGAGGTCGCGGATCTCGCGTCTGGAATCCCTAAATTTTCACCTCGTAATTCCCGACCGGCCAAAAGGGGTCGTACGACGTAAGGGATGGCCTCGTTCTATCTATACGAGATACTTCGGTGCTAAGGGTGGAGAAGGGAGGCTGTAGGAAATTCATCGAGAGGGTTGAAACTCAAGAAAGGGATAGTGCACTGTAAGGGTGGCATAAGAACGGCAAGGGGTCCAAGGAGGGTGGACCTCTTCGGTTTAGAGTCTACCGTTCGATAGAGTCGACTGTACGGCGCGGTCACCCTGGTATCCAATGCGTTCTTACGTCATTAGGCGTCGCGACGTCATAACCCCCAACTCTATACCACGTTACTACAATCAACCAAGATATACCCGGTGTCCCCTTTTTTTTTCAACTTACTATACCATCCCACTAAATAGGACATCGCGTGACGCTACTCCAGGTTCATTACATTACGTTAGTCTGCTCTAGTCGAGACTTTATTTCTATATAGCGAAGCCATCGGGCTCGTTTAAGGACACATCGTCTCCAGCGCCGGGAAGTGTCGAGGAACTCGCATCAGGAAGATAGATAGTCGAGCAGATAGACAGATGGCTGGAGTAGACGGATAGATAGTTAGATATATAGAGAGAGGCCGAGTATACGTAGCAGGTAGAGAAAAAGAGAAAGAAAGAAAGAAAAAAAAGAGTACAAAAAAATTGCCACGATTTCAAAACCTACCAGGGATGGTCGGGTGTACGCTCGTTGACTAGCGCTAAGTTTCCTTGTACATACATCCTCGAGGAATACCGGTATACCCGCCGGTACGGTGGTCCCGCGGAGGTAAGTGAACCAAACCCAAGGAAGGCATTCGAACATACGGATGAATATAAAGAGCCAGAAACCCGTACAGTTAATTGCAAGAATAATTTGTAATTCGAGAACGTCGCCAAAAGGACATTTCTCTGTGTAACGGGTGTACCCTGCCGGGAAAGGAAACGTCAAAAAAGAAAGAGGAGGACAAGAAGCAGAAGGTCATGGGCATAAACGGAAGGGGCGCCTGGCGTCTTTACGAAATTATCCAGGACCGGGATTGACCGATGGCAAAGACCCAGTTTTGTCCGCAAACATTTGTCAGGAAGCGTCAAGTAGCTATATGACGTCTCTTTTCACGCCGTCGTGTCAGCATCGTCATCCACCAAGAGCCGAAACCCCATGGTAAACAGTCGCACCCACTAGGAAATTAGCCGTTAAGTGTTTTATGTATCCGGCTTTGGGAACACGCCCGAAACCGAACTCACGTGGCGCGCACTACCGGGACGCCTGGTACCGACGTCTACAGCGGGTTCTAATTTGTGAACGTGCGAACGCGTCGGCGATTACTTCTTTGTGCATCCGTGTATTCTATGGTGGGTCCTCGAGTAGACGATGGTTACCATGTCGATGGGTCGGAGCACTTGGACGATGACTCGAGTGATTGGAGTCGTGACGTGGCCCCGGGAGGGTTCCACATGGATGGTACCTAAGAGACGTGGCTTTACGCCTTTACACGAGTCAAGGCTAGTTTGGATTCTTTATTTTGTCCACGTCGTTAACTGGTAACGGCCTACCGATGGACGGTTAGCTCTGCTTATGCGTCGATCCTTCGGATGGTGGACATCGGATGGATTGGCTAACGGCTATACTCGGTACATGATAAGTCGCCGTTCTATCGGTTGCGATGAGTCCGCGCGAGCGAGAGAGAAAAAAGGAGATCGAAGAAGAGAAGGAAAAAAAAAAGTGAGGATAACCAGCATCCTCTATTATAAATGGATCAATTCTTGTAAACCGGAGGACGGTTTCTTGCGCTCGTCGCGCACTGTCAATAGGAGTTGATTGGAGTTTGGGTAGATTTGTGAATCAACTGGTATTTCAGTCACCGATAACATCGTCATTATTTCTCCGAGACTTTTTCTCCTGCTCGCTCCACGGTTAGCGAGGTGAAGATTCCTCGTCTTTATTAGATATTTTCTTCATGCGTCTGTCCCCCATCTTTTTCATCGGATCCTTCCGACTCGGCAGCAGGCCAGATCCTCACCAGATGCCAGCCGAATCGCCCACCGCCGATAACAGGGCCCCGATCTTCCTGCTTAAATGTCCCATAACTAACAATCCCGACGTTCTAATTAAATATCTATCGTTTAATTAAGAATGATTTACCGTCGTCAGCGAGCGAGCCAAGCAAAGCCAATCCAAACGAGCGTTCAGCCAGCCAACCGGAGGCTGCACCATTCGATGCTTGGCAATCAATGCAGGAATTATCCTCATTAGGTCGAGATCCGCGCGGGCTGCCCGGCTTCGCCGTGTTCGCTTCTGGCTGGCACAGGCCTCGGCAGCCTGAGCTCCTGGACGCTTGGGATCCGGAGTGAGGTGGGGGAGGAGTGTGTCTCCGGCGTGGACGTAGGACGAGAGGAGACGTCGGCAGGAAAGAGCGAGGAGCAAAGCTGAAGGAGAGGAAGGAGCACGGACCGAGGGACTCGAGCCGAGCTATTAGATCGAGAGCTGGTTGAGCTGCGGCGCTGAGAAAAACTGGAAACCTGAGGCTTCTCGACGGTCCGTGAGGATGCCAGGGGGATCCCAGGGGTACGACGGAGAATTGCCAGGACTACCATGGGCTCTAACCTGCAGGGGGAACACTCTTGGCAAAAAGGAGTCGCTGACTTCGAGTGACAACTTAGCGAGCCGGAGCTCACCTTGCTGTCCATCCAATGGCCACACAGGTACCTAGTCGATGCGTTATGACACTTTTAAACTGCACGTCATTTGAACTGTATCCTTTTTACCCATGATTACTTGCAAGAGCCGTTTTACATCGATAAGCAGCCATATCGGATCGACGACTAATCGATATCGGCGATTGGCATCGTTCCGTCATTCTTCGTACCACTTGGGACCTACTTCAAGACGGACTTTCAAGCAGCCGTAAGCATCGCTCGCCAGTATCACTCCGACCGGAATACCAGAAGCGGCCGTAACGTGCGTAAGGCTCAGCTTACACGGCCGGTCATATGGCAACGGGGAAAAATACGTAAGAGTAGCTAACACGGCCATATGTCGTGTCGTGGAGGAAGAACGTTTGCGTTACGTCGTACGTTCAAGTAGCCCCGGGCGACAGGAGCGACGGGGTCTACAGCCCGGAAAAGGGGAGAGATCTAGCACGGTGGCTGCTGGCGAATTGGCTTTATCCCGGCCCTGAATTTTCGTCCCGATCTCTGGCCACGTGTGTCATGCAGATATAGTACACTGATGCACACTCGGTAGCCTTCGAGCTACGGATAATGTTATTTCGATTTACATACATATAGTATGGGTACCTCACGATCTTTATATACTGCATACGTGCATATATGCGACCTCGCAAGGAATAGACGACGCTTTTAGAGCGTGCACTTTTATACGTATACTTACATATGTATTCTTTAGTTACTTTAATATCGCATATGGAACTCGGGATGGTTGACAAATTTTTTGAACTTTTGTTCAACGAGCGCGTTTGCGGTTTTTTTTTTATTGTGCCGCAAAGGTTAGAGAGAGTTGATTTTGTTAGAGCGGCAGAGCCAGCTAGTGAGAAAGTGACCAGATGGGATTCTGGTTACGTTTATCCTGCTAAGTCCTGGCTTGAATTTGGCTCGGGGTGCCGCTAGGAATGTCCTGTAATTGATAGTAGCGTACACACTGGGCTCAATGAGCCGTACGAAAATAATAAGCCGTCGTAACGCCGTAGTACTACGTGGGTATTATTGGCTCTGGGGGTGTTACCAGAGTCGTAGAGAAGGGTGACTACCCGCAATGTATGCACCCCTGTGCTTAGCTGGTTGGATATCGTCTTGGGGTGTGTCGAACGTCTATATTTCCTGTTTGCTATATTTCCGATCGAGACGAGTCTTTCCGCAAAGTGCATCCATCGGATGTTCAATTTATTGGACGATCAAAATTTTTGAAATTAAAAAAATAATTGCCTAATAATTAATCAACGAACCAAGAAAATGTACCTTTCGATCTCAAGACGGATGGGACAATTTTTGTCATCCGATTGGTCTTTGAAATTGAATAAGGGGGAACAAAAAAAATTACAAAATAAAAGTGGAAAGCATGAAACACAAAAGATATTTTTTTTCTGGGAATTCGGAAAGTCGCGGTGGTCCAGCAGGTTCGTCTAACCTAGGTAGGTACAGCCGTAAGATAATCCAATCTCGTACATGGCAGATGATGTAATGCCTACGTTTCAAGAGCGAAGAGGGCCGTAGAGCAACCCTCAGCCTCGATTAGATTAGGGTGGATTAGCCAATCAAAAACTACAATGCTGTCAGGAATCAAATCCCCATTGGATACGTGACATTTGATGCTGCAAGCGCTCTATTAGATTTGCGACGTCGTTAACGTACGGCCATCGAACTATTCACTAACTAGAATACGAATGGCTATCAGAAACGAGATAAACCCTTTTGCCGCGTTAAACGATACTTCCTCTTTTTTTTGTCATCCTTCGTTTTATCCAAATTGTCCGGCACGTTTAATTGAGAAAACGCGTAGAAATTAATTTCACTCGGACTATCGCATCGATATCACCTTCGGTGTGCTGGCTATGTACACGTGAGTGAATGCGTGTCGCACGCGATCCTCGTTAATTTTCAAATGAGGTGCGGCTATATATATATACACACTGTATACGTATACCCGTATCCATACGTGTACACGTGGACTGTCTGTCTGCCGGTTTTTCATTTTACAAAGAAATTGTATTCGTGCCCATTTACGTTTTTCCTAACACGTAAAGGCCGAATGAATGGTTCGGAGCTAGTGGCTCCACTCCTGGGACGGTAACTATGCTAATTAAGTGCGGGCTAACCCTTTAAACGAGCGATTAAAAAATTAGGGGTTGACGGCTTTATGAAGGCGGCTCATTTGTCAAGTGAAAACACGCCCGTAACTCGCTCCACGTTTCCGACGACTTTCATTCATGAAAATACATTTCGTATTCTTGTTGCCGAGACTGACAAACCCGAAGGGGTAGTCGATGAGTCTAAGGGTATAGAAAAAAAAAAAAATCTTTTAACCTAAAACACATAAAACAAGAAGCGAACAAATCCGTGCCATCTGTCGAAACGTCGCTCCATATCGTAACTGGTTCATTTGTCTCTCGTGTCTATCATTTGTCGACACCACATGTAGATAGAAATTCAATATGGTGCCAAGACACTCTATACCTCTCGGTACAAAAAGAGCAAAGGTCTTTTTACTCAATCAATAGTACCCTAACATTCTGTATAGCTACCATTATACTGGGTACAGGAACAATTATCTAAATTTGCATTATATCTCTATCAAATTACCAGATTCTTATTATTGATAAAATTGCCCATTTCAGGGGGATGAAAACGAGGGGTCGATCCAGGGGTAAAGACCAAGGGTACGAATGTCACTCTGTTCATTTAACGTCGATATTTTAAGAGCGGCGAGACTGGCCAGGGGGGGGGCTATCTTGCATACCAATGGCGTACGAGCATCTGAAATTTTTATCACTCAAAAAATATTTAAAAAAAGATACATGTCTATATACGAATGTTTATTGTCCTACGCATAAAAAAAAAATGTATAGCTACTCGTAAAAGTCAAAGGTAACCCTTGAAATTTCTTCTCTACGAAGCCAGCGCCGGAGCGCCCGAATAAAACGGCCCTGGTACCAGTAGCCGATACCGTCCCAGGGTGACAGGACGATTGCACTGTCACAGTCCAGTGACGTAGTAACTTGACACCATCAGGGTGTACACGCCCACTCGCACACGCTTCGCATTGCTATCGCGACCAGACAAACGGACATGTGGGATAGAGCGGCATAATCCACACGTGCTCCCGCTAACTATCTCCCATATGAAATTAGTCATGGCCGCGTTTCAATAATAAAATAACCGAGCAGCCGAGGCAATTATTATTATGACGGCGACTGCCATCACGAAATAATCGTAACGAGCTCGTTATCAGTGGCTACCATCCGTACGCGATAACTGCGATTTTTATTCAGACTGAAACAAACCGGCGTATCTCATTCACGCGAAACTTCGTATCTGCAGTACGTATTAGTCAAGGGTTGCATAATTGGCAAGGGTTTTTCCAAGCACGTGTACAGAAGAAAAAGACAATAAAATTCTCATCTTCGGTTATAACAAAATCGATTGGTTATCAAGATGATAGTCATATACTTTGGTATACAAGTGGCGGGGTGGGCATTAGCATTAATTTATTCTTGCAGCTACAACAAATGCCGTGGTAAATGATAATGCAATCGACGTGGCTGCATAGGCGCAGAAGGGCACAGATGGTCGCCCCAGGCACTTACCAGTTATCCTATGTCCTGTACACCCTATATGTACTGTATATCCTATATAGCCCATACTGCCTCCGGTCAAAGGGATCTACGGGGCACGGCTGGCCACTAACCGTATTTATTCACGGATAGCTAAATTTCATAGAGTAGGAGTAGGGTGATAAGGGAACGGGTGGGGGGTATGTTAGAAAGGGGATACACGACAATATATATATATATATATATATATATATATATATATATTCCATACCCGATTTCTTACGGATCGCGTAAACTCCTTCGCGTGACGATGAAGAATTCATGCGGTTAGCGGGACCCTTGGAAAAGTGTCTTACGATTTTTCGATCGGTTCCACGATATGTGTCTATGGGGTGCCTGATGCTTTCTTCGTCCTCGAATGACTGTACACGTAAATATTTCAAGGATTGAATTTTTGTACAGGGCGTATATACCGTATACGTACTCCAGCGCGTACGGTGAAATATTGATACGTATAGTGTGTGCTGTTTTACTCTTTGACTCTCTCGTGTATACGTAGTAGACCGATATTTAATAACTGTAGGACAGCCATGACAGATGTAGGAAAGGATATATCTCCACAACGTTAAACGGCGAGTGTATCGTGCGCTGTTTAGTCTCACACACACACCAGATCACCGGCAAGTGGTTGCGCAACAGATAACTTTGATTTATTTTAATTTCTCTCGGAGATTTCGTGCACCGTGAATTACGAGCAAGTTATTTTCGAGAGTTCACGGTGATTTACCGTGGGTACGTAATCGTTTCGGAGGTGTATAGGAGGTACGTATACGCGGTGAGTCGCACGCGGTGGAGACGTTTGGTTTTTAACGTTGTCATTTACCGGGAATATATAAGTGTACAGTCGAGTTCGGTTTTCCGGGGTGGCGAAGAGAGAAGTTCGCGAGAAAAGAAACGAGAGATTTTTTCTATTTTTTTTTTTTCATTTTCCCACGAGGATAGCGAAGAGGAGAGAAATCCTAGAGAAATTCTTCCAGCCTCCCTCTACTGCGGCTGATGTACCCCCCGCCCTTCTTGTCCCACTTTCCTCTCTATCTGTCCTCTCGCTATTGTCTTTATACGAAGAATCCTATGCTGTACCTCGCCTCGGGAACTTCTATAGGGTCGGCAGATGAATTCGACGCAGCATCCTCTGCCAGGAGCTCCAAGGCTCCAAGTGCTCGGCCGCGAAGCTGTTGCGGCCAGCATGGGAATTATGAGGGGCCGCGGAGGTGTGCTGGTCCAGGAGCTCTTGTCAGGTTCACCAGGGGAAGGTTAGGTCAGTCGGCGTCGTTGTTTGCAGCATTAATCATGGCATCACCCCTTGCTTCCTTAGGAATTCGGTCCAGTAAGATTGGCCGCTTTTGCAATGCACGTACATATTACATGGTGGAGGTTAGCCCGAAGGCATTGCGAAATTTACATCGGAAACAATTCCTGGCTGATAGTTCGCCGGTGAAGGAGTCGATAGGGGAATGATTTTTTTAATTTATTTCCC